CAATGACTCTTTTGTGTGATATTACTTATAACAATATTTTTATGTATTTTTAAAATTAAAATAAATTTTATATTATAGAATTTCTTATCAACTTTATTGTTTTATATTTGTATAATTCATATGTTAAATTTATGTAATATTTTTTTTAATAATTATAATATAATTTAATTATTTAATAACTATTTTTTTTATTTCTATTTTTAAAAAATAGATATCAAATATATTTTTACTATTTTAGTTTTGAATTCAATTTTTCATTTATATTAACTAAACATGTTTTTGAATTTTAAAAAAATTGAAAAGTTTTTTCTAAAAATAAAAATAGAAAATAAACATATTTTTTTAATAACCAAACAGGCCCTTACATTCTCCATAACAAATTATGTAAATTATATAATTACTCCATTGCAACTTAAAAAGTTACATTAAGATATTTTTTGTTGTAACCAAAATTATTATAAATTATATGACATTTTAGGTTGGACATGTAGTATTTCAAATTAAAACCTGTCACAATATTATATTTTCGAATATGACCAAAATTATTATAAATTTTACAAAATTTTAGATTGAACATTATAACATTTAGATTAAAAACAGTTACAAATTAACTTTAAATTAGGCCCCATTTGATAATCCTGTCTAAAAATACTTTTAGCTAAAAGCTTATTTTGACCACGAAACTAATACCCAACCGGTAAATTTTAAAAAAAAAATGGTGGAAACGGTGGTTTTAAACCAATCGCAAAAGCTAAAATTTCTAGCTTTTTTTAATTCAAACTATGCATTTAAAATCAAATTTATATTTTTACCCTTATTAATACAAGGGCTACTAAATCATGTATTTATATTTTATTTTAATAATTTAATACAAACATCGTTAAAAACAATTTATTACTTTCAATAATTTATTTATAAATAAATAAAGTTCATGATTTATATTAAAACATTAATAGTGAGTTATATAAAATATATTTATAATATAATTATACTTTTATTTATACTTTTATACATATATTATAATTTAAATTGATATAATATATATATAATAATATTTTTTTAAAAAATTTATCGTAATTTAAATTAATATAATTCATATATAACTATAAATATAATTTAATGTTATATTTTAAATTTACAATATAATGCCTATAATAAATATTTTTTTATTTTAAACTTATTTTTTAATAATAAACCTAGATAATTAAATTATAAATTATATTTTTGAATAATATTTTTAAAAATCCATTTTTACAACACTTTTAAAATCAATTTTTTTAAAAAAATACCAACCGGTGCTTAATCCACTACTGATGTTAGTAAGGGTGCGTTTGGTTCACGGAATGTAAGATTACCAGTGGGAATAAAAGATTACCAGGGAATAGGATTACTGAGAATGTTACGTTACTGTGTTTGGTTGGTTTGGCAGGAATGTAAGATTATCGTGTTTGGTTGAAGGAATAAAAGATTATTGGAATGTATATTTTACCAAATTGACCTTGTTCTATATTATTTAAGGTGTGAAATTCTAATTATTTAAATAAAAATTATTTATATAAAAATTCATCGATAATATATTTAAATAAAAATTATTTATATAAAAAATCATCGATAATATATTTAAATAAAAATTATTTATATAAAAAATCATCGATAATATATTATTTTATTATTTAAATATATCATGTATAATTTTAATTTTAATTAATATTAAATTTTACATAATTTATTTAAAAAATATATTAAAATTTTACTTCAACATAATTTATATAAAAATATATCATGTTCAATTTAGGGATTTTTAACTTTCACTATGATATTAAATCGACCATGACGATGATTCCGTTGGGTAATATTTTCCACACAAAATAGCTTCCAAATTTCCCTACATTGATGCCTTTAAATTTATTTGAAGTGAATGCTCTAAATATTATACAAATTGGAATGTTATTTACATGTTAGGTCATGCATGCATAATGAAATGAATTTGTGTATACACTATACAAAGATTTCGAAAAGTATTTTACAAAATACAGATTATAAAATATGAAGGTTAAACATACAGGGTGGAAACATAACACATTGAACAAAATATTATAGAAAAGTTAAGAGAGTTGAGAGAAGCACATCATAAGTTAACATTACAGCATGAAACTGCATAATGTGAGTCTGTACAATTGTTTGATAACTACAAAGCCAACTTTGTATGTTTAATTTAAGTTTCATGCAAACAGAAAAAAAAAAGATTACTCTTCAGTTCACATATTCATTCTTAAAAAGAAAAAGATAACCTGTTACATCCACATATAGACTTATATATCCCAAAGTTATTATAAACTCAAAGATACATAACAAGGGTCTCAAAATTGTAATGCATACAATACGATGACATTGTACCTTAACATTAGCACTCTTAAAAGTAGCTTAACAAATTAACTACTTATGAGATTGTGCAAAAGTGTAGAGTTATATGTGTACGAGTTAAATGTCAACTCCAAAAGCTATGAAAGTTAAATTGAGATACTCAAACAAGTTCCTATGTTCCTTGCAGGAAATTTGGTTACAAGCTTCCACAGTGCAAAGTCAAGCTTGAGTAGTAACAAATCCTTGCATTACTAGGAAAAAGTTTTGAGATATTTATTTGAAAATGAAAGCAGAACTAGATGAGGATGAAGGAGAAATCTAAAGTACTATTATTAGAGAAAGTAGATAATATATCAAAGCTTAATATGATGACAATATAATAGCAACCTCTAATGAATAAAGAGTTCAATGGTAAGGTCAGGAAGGTCAGCATCAAGGTTCAAAGGACTCCAAAAAGAATTCAGACTTGAAGGAACATACTCTGAAAAAAGAACGGAAAAACAAAACCAACAACAGGATATTGCATCCGCTAACAACCATTTACACAGTTACAAACATATAATGACATTAGCCTAATTAATTTTAAATATAAAAGGATTCAGTCATGAAGAAAAATATTCAGACAAAAGAAGAAAAAAAACATCAACAACAGGATATTGCATCTGCTAACAATCATTTACATGGCTACAAATAGAAAATGGTATTAACCTAATTAATTTTAAATATATGTGCAACAGAAAGTTTAGAAAGAATTAACAAAAAGATGGTCTAACATAAAAGGTGCATCAATTGCAATTTTCTTTTGAGATACATCTGGAAGAGTTAGTAAAAAAAAATTCCAAAATAATAAGAATCATGCCTTATGTTTATTTACCTTATTGTACAATTTTAAACTTCAAGAGCCCAAGTAAGAAAGTTCACATAGTTCAAGCAAAATATGTATATATATAAGTTCTGAAATTAACTCAAAATATTATCAAACTTTTCATCAAGAAAAGCTTACTTCAAACTAATGGCTTTCAAGCTACAAACTTGTAACACTAGCAACCAAGGAACACCTATTTAACTGTTCCAAATAGAAAAGTTAAGGTTTTTTCTCTATTGAGTTTCACTATATATTCCACAACCTATCACCAAAACTCAATAAAACAAAAAATGCTGCTACTCAAATGCCTATCAAACTATAATTATAACGTAATCGATATGGTGAACAAGGTGATGTAAACCTTTTCCAACACCATCTGAGCAGTAGACTGCTCAATGTCTTTCTTTTTCTTAAAGGACTCAGACACAATAGTAAAATCTGAAAGCTCCAAGGTACAACGATAAAGGCAAGGCCCCTTCTGAAGGATTGCCAATCCTGGGCATCCATTTGAGTAGGTTCCTCTACTTCCTCTACCGAATAAGAAGCTTTACTCCCAAACTTTTGGTGTATAATAGCCTTTGGCATAAGCGTTGGCTTTCTTATTGCCTGTGCCAACGATCCTCCAGTTTCCATGTGACTTCTAGGTGTTTGAATAAACCAATCTAGAAAACAAAAACTGAAAAAGTTCAGCAAACTATCATGTATGCAAATAAAATGGTAAGAACAACAACTGAATCAAACTTGCATTTCACCAATTGCACAAACTAAACCCTAAACCCTAGAAGAAAAAAGAAAAAAGAAAAACAGTACCCTAACCATATTCTATACAATCAACCAATAAAATCATAGAAAATGGAAATATAGAAATGAAGAAAGATCCGTTAATTTCTTGAATGGTGGAAGATTGAAATCTATTGTGTTATGAATATGAAATTAATTCCAACTCCAGAATCAATGTTCTGCAATTGCCAAACACAGAGATGAGAAGAATAGAAACACAGAGATGAGAATAACAAAAAAAATTGAATAGAAAAAGGCAGGGAAGTGAGAAGGACGGAAGTCCTTATAAGGAACAAGTTGGGGAAAGCAAAATAAATGAAAGGGAGTGGAGAAAAATCTTACTAGCAGAATCTCATTGGAAAAACAACGAATTTTTCGCAGGCAAGCTCACGGGAGAAGAAGATATCGCAGAGGCAAACTCACAAGGACAAGAAGGATATTTTAGCCCTTAAGCCCGAGAATAAAAATATACCTAAGACACATATGAGAATAACATTCCCGGAATAAACCCACAAAATTTTAATATTGGTATTGTGATATTAACCTCACTTGAGAATCTTGTCTATCCAAACATGGGTATATTAAACAGGAAAAAAATATTCCTGAGAGGAATAATAAAATCATTGATCCAAACGGGCCTTAATATATTTGAATCAAACTAATTCCAAATCAGGGATAATCCACAGAACTGATGCTCACCATATTACTGAGAAACCATTGTCCGGAAGAAGCAACAATTAAACAGATGGAGCTAAGTACCATGTTTTTTATCATCCAATCGAACGGCCCACAACAATTAAACCCGTACATCATAAAACACCGTAATGAAACCCTAAAAAGGGTGGAGCCCACAGTAACCTCACCCCAATCCAATCTTAAAAAATAAACGGCTCTCTCTTAAAAACCGCCCACCAGAGCTTCTCCGTCAATCTTCCGTCGACCGTCTACACAAATTAATTACCTCAAAGGAGAAGAAATCGTGAATGAATCTATGGACGAAACCCTAGCAGATCACAAGCTCTGCGGTTACCTTCTTACGGTTCTAACGCTCCCCCCTCAATCCATTCCCTCCACGGCTCCCTTATCCGCTCCCTGCCTCCTCACCACCGACGACGACAACGCCGTTTGCTTCCGGTGCCAAAACGGCCTGCTTTTCTCCCCAGTTCGAAACGCTTCCGTTTCGTATCGCGACAATGCGGGGAATTCCAGGAGGAAAGGGAGGAAGAAGATTGGGATGGTTCATGGGAGCATCAGTGTGGTGAATCAGATTCATGTGTTGGTTGCTCATAAGTGCCTCAAGATCCAGGCACGGCTTCTCAGAGTGGAGGACGGCTGGGAGGAGGTTAGGGCGGTGGTTCTCGTGGATGTTTATTTGCCAGTTGAGTTGTGGGCCGGTTGGCAGTTTCCCCGTTCCGGTTCCGTTGCCGGTTCATTGTTTAGGCATTTGAGGTAAAGCTTTTGCAATTTTTATATACCAGTTCGATAATTAGTTGTAACGTTTTCGTGTGTATGCTGTTAAGCTTAGTTTAAAAAAATTAGAAAGTATTTTCTTAATCATTAAACATTAAATTCCGTGCATGATTTATTATGATTAAGTACTGAGGTATATTTAAGCTTGTTTAATCATTTTAATCAAGCGGGGCAATTCAATTTTGACTTTGAAGCGCAATTTAACTATGTTTAATAAGCAAACTAGTAAAGAGCAACAACCTAGGCTAGAAGAAGATCAGCCATATATTATTGTGGGAAGTTTTGAAACTATAGGGAAAATAATTCTGTTATGCGCTTAGGGCAACATTAGGATGTATGTAATGTGATGGGGTAAAGGTGGTGTATACAGTTTTTGAAGTAAAATTTGATTGAGCAAGTATGAGAAGGAATTGGAAAACAATGGTGATGCTGATACATGCTACTCCGAGTTTAAATAAAACTATTTTTTCATCATTCATCGGTCCTAAAGATGATATTTTCTTAGCTTCTGCTGATTTTTATTTATTTAGTAATTGGGGTTATTTTGTTGCCCTTACATTCTTGATTGTTAGCTATCTGTGCACCTTTGAATTAAAAATGCCACGCCCTTCATCTTTTCTATTGGTTAGCTGAGACATTCATATTAGACCAATCTGCTGCTAAAGAGTAGTGGATATGAACTGACTGATATATAGTATGGTAGTTTACATTGTTTTAAATTTATTACTTCTAAAAATTCTTGAATGGAAAACCTTTTTGCATTCTACTTTGTAGAACACAGCTAATTGGGTTGTTTCCTATTGGTCATAACTATTACTCTCTTATTTACAAGCTTCCTCAACAAACTAGCTGTATTTTCATGTTAAAAAATACTAAGTTTTAGTTTGAGATTTTATCATTTAAATAGATTATTTTCCCTTTATATTTGCATTGCTTTGTCAAAATTTTGCCTCTAAAGTGTAGTTTGGTTTGTCAGCTGTGATTGGAAGGAGAGAAATTTGATGCTCACTAATGGTACAGAGATCGGTCAAGATGCTCTTGGAAATGCAAGGAGCATCTGGAATGTTTTTGATTGTCATGTTCTAGGATGCAAGTTGCATTGTAATGATATTGACCCTTTGAAGAAAAGGCTATTTGAGCTTCATGACATTTTCAAGAGCTTGCCTAGTGTAACAAATAAGGGAATGACTCATTCTTCTAGAATACAACCAGCTGATGATAGTCAAAATTCTGGCCTTTGGGACATAACTGATGATATTCTGATGAATATTCTAGCTGCACTTGGTCCGAGGGATCTTACCAGGATAGCAGCGACTTGTCAACATCTAAGGTCTTTGACTGCATTGATAATGCCATGCATGAAACTTAGACTTTTCCCTCATCAGCAGTCAGCTGTTGAATGGATGTTAAAACGTGAGCGAAATGCTGAGGTTTTGCTTCATCCTTTGTACATGGAATTTTCAACAGAAGATGGGTTTTCTTTCTATGTTAATAGTGTTACTGGCAGTATAGTTACTGGCACAGCTCCCACTATTAGAGATTTTCATGGAGGAATGTTCTGTGATGAACCTGGCCTGGGAAAGACTATAACTACCCTATCACTAATTCTGAAAACACAAGGAACAATGGCTGATCCACCGGAGGGTGTTCAGATAATTTGGTGCACACACAATGGTAATGATAAATGTGGTTATTATGAGCTTATTGGTGATAAATTTACCAGAAGTATGTCTTTGGGGAAGAGGACTACAAGTCCGAATGCTCTCAGGGGGCTATCATCTTTAGGGGAGTCTTGTCTCATGGAGGACATAAACCACCCTTTACCTAAAAGGGCCAAGCTGATGAATCCAGGTGAGAGAAGTGCAGAATTTGACGATTCTTGTTCTGGTAGAAGAACAAAATCACCATCGACTCAAGTCTCTGAGCCAGTAACTTGGGCACTTCGATCCTCAAGAAATTTGAGGCACATCAGGAAAAATCTTCTGTATTCATATGGTGGGCTGTCTGGTTCTTGTAACAGAAAAACAGTTGAGAAGAACACATCAAAAAGGAATGGATCAAGACACATTTGCAGGGAAAAGCAAGTTGATTTATCCTTTGGAGTTTCAGATGGTTGCAAGAGACCTGGGAAGGGCACTGCTGATAGTGCTATGTGTACTGAAACTTGGGTTCAGTGTGATGCCTGTCACAAGTGGAGGAAACTTGTAGGCTCAAGTTTAACTAATGCTAAGGTAGCATGGTTTTGTAGCATGAACACTGACCTTGCACGTCAGAACTGTACTGATCCTGAAGAAGCATGGGATGCTCATGGTTCTATAACATACCTACCAGGATTTTTCACCAAAGGAACAGCTGGAGGAAAGGAGGAGAATGTATCCTTTTTCATCAGTGTTCTTAAGGAGCACTATGCTGTGATAAATTTGAAAACAAAGAAAGCCATACTTTGGCTATCTAAGCTTTCTCCAGATAGGCTTTCTGAAATGGAGACAGTTGGTTTGTCAAGTCCAATATTGGGCAGTGGTGTTGCAGGAGATGCACTTGGGTTCCATAAGATGTTTCAAGCATTTGGTCTTATAAAGAGGGTAGAAAAGGGAATTAGCAGGTGGTATTATCCAAAGACTCTTGAGAACTTGGCATTTGATGTGGCTGCACTCAGACTTGCTCTATGTGAGCCATTAGACTCTGTCAGGTTATATTTGTCAAGAGCAACATTAGTTGTTGTTCCAGCAAATCTAGTTGATCATTGGAAAACACAAATCCAGAAACATGTAAGGCCAGGTCAGTTACAGCTTTATGTCTGGACTGATCATAGAAAGCCTCCTGTTCACAATCTGGCTTGGGACTACGATATTGTTATCACTACATTTCACCGTTTAAGTGCAGAGTGGGGCCCCTGTAAGAGAAGTGCACTGATGCAAGTGCATTGGCTTAGGGTCATCTTAGATGAAGGGCACACCCTTGGCTCAAGTCTTAATTTAACCAACAAATTGCAAATGGCTATTTCATTGACTTCTTGTAGTCGTTGGTTACTGACAGGAACACCCACTCCTAACACACCCAATAGTCAACTGTCTCATCTCCAACCATTACTCAAGTTCCTTCATGAAGAAGCTTATGGTCAGAACCGAAAGTCATGGGAAGCTGGCATTCTTAGACCATTTGAAGCCAAAATGGAAGAGGGTCGATCACGTTTATTGCAGCTGCTCCATAGATGCATGATTAGTGCAAGAAAGATAGATTTGCAGAATATTCCTCCATGCATTAAGAAGGTGACATTTGTCAATTTCACTGATGAACATGCAAGAAGTTATAATGAATTGGTGGTTACAGTGAGGCGAAATATTCTAATGGCCGACTGGAATGACCCTTCTCATGTTGAAAGTTTATTAAATCCAAAGCAGTGGAAGTTTCGGAGCACAACAATTAGAAATGTCAGGCTATCTTGTTGTGTGGCTGGGCATATAAAAGTAACAGAAGCTGGTGAAGATATTCAAGAAACAATGGACATTTTAGTTGAAAATGGTCTGGATCCTCTTTCAGAAGAATATGCTTTAATTAAATATAACCTCCTTTATGGTGGTAATTGTCAGAGGTAGTAATTTGTTTTTGAGTTTCTTTGTCGCTTTGTTTAAACCATTTCCTATCATATGATCAGATTAAGGTTTATTTTATTTCTTCTGATATAGATGCAATGAATGGTGCCGTCTACCAATTGTTACCCCATGTAGGCATCTTTTGTGCCTTGATTGTGTTGGTTTAGATAGTGAAATGTGTACGTTATCTGGCTGTGGTCACTTATATGAGATGCAGACTCCTGAAACATTAGCACGCCCGGAAAATCCAAATCCCAAGTGGCCTGTCCCAAAAGATCTTATTGAGTTACAACCTTCATATAAACAGGTAGGTTAATTCTTGATTTAATCATTTTATTATGTAGGTTTTAATTTTATGCTATATAAATCCTACAAAATAGACATTCCTTTTTCTGGTTATTAGGATGATTGGAATCCTGATTGGCAATCAACCTCTAGTAGTAAAGTTGCTTATCTTGTGGAGAGGCTGAAAGCATTGCAGGAGGTTAATAAAGAGGTCAATTCCTCTGTGGATGAAGATGATGAGGGAAAGAACATTGATAAGTTACTTTGGCCTTCACAGAGGATTGCTATGGATGTGCCTTTGCTGCTGAATTTCTCTAGACCGGGCAATGAGTCATACAAGATGCTTCCGGAGAAAGTTCTAATATTTTCTCAATTTCTTGAGCATATACATGTTATTGAGCAGCAGGTATATGTAGTTTGACTTTACCTACACAGAAGTGCACTTTTTTTTATTTTCCTTTAAAAGTGGTAGGCTGATTACCTTTTTTTATTTTGGCAGCTGAATTGTGCTGATATCAAGTTTGTTGGAATGTATAGTCCAATGCATTCTAGCAACAAGGTACTTCTTTTCTCTAGCCGTTAATTTCTATTCCCCCCCCCCCCTATTCGTGCAATCCTTGAGTTTTAATTTCCATTTTTGCAGATGAAGTCACTGACCACATTCCAGTATGATGATAGTTGCATGGCTCTCTTGATGGATGGGAGTGCTGCATTGGGGCTTGATTTGAGTTTTGTTACTCATGTATTTTTAATGGAGCCTATTTGGGACAGAAGGTAATTTTAACTAACTTGTATCCTAAAATTTATTTTTGGTTAGGATTCTGGAAAATAAGATATTTTATCTCATCAGTTCCCTGCAAAAGGTTGTAGACTTTGCTGCTAATGCTGTTTTGTTTCCAAGTGAAAGATAAAAGCGCCGGTGTTCCAATTCTCAGATCTAACATCAAAGCTTAGGCATTAATTTTTTTTTCCTGCATCATTTTAGTATTTTTTTTTAAGTAATAACGGTCAGCAGCGGTAACCCTTTCGGGCATGACCATTGCCACTAACCACTAGGGAACCAGTGGCTGGACAAGCTTGCACAGAGATTGTAGAAAGGCATTTGTTGCCGGCTGTTAAGGTCGCAAGTGTGTGCTTGGTGAAGTGGTTAAACCACAGACTAACCCCCTCACTGAGGGTAATAACAATGGAGAGGCTGGTTGTATCCCATCATTCACTGTTAATATGGATCAAACATTGACCATCTTGCTAACAAAACACCTTGAATATATGCTATATTCTGCGTGCCACACTAGGCATAGTCTGTCTCCAAGCTCACCGAGGATTACAGTATTTCAGAAACCAATATCTAAAGATTGACGTGTAGTGCACTTGTGGTCCACTTTTGTGGCTTGAGCCCTGAGCTCTTCGTTGCCATTAAGCCTAGTGGCTTTTATATCCATTCTTTTGTTAAAAATAGCGTGCACACACACACACTTAATTATCAACTGATGCCAATGTTTACCGGTTGAAACCTTATCAGCATGGAGGAACAAGTCATTAGCCGTGCCCATCGGATGGGTGCTATTCGTCCAATTCATGTGGAGACTTTAGCCATGCGTGGTACAATTGAAGAACAAATGATGGAATTCTTACAGGTATGCCTCTTGGCCAAGCTTCTGTTTTCGAGACAATGACTTGATAATTTGCCATAACATTATTGTAGATATTCAACCCGTCCCCAGCTAAGTTGACATTTCTTGTGTTTGGCTGGGTGGGTGCATGACAGAGTCCATGGCTTTTCTACCAGTTGGGAACTCGTTAGATTGATTTCGCTGGTTGTATTTTTTTCCTAAAAGTTTTATCTGAAGGATCATCTATATCTGAATTACCTGATGTCTTTTAGCCTTTTGTGAGGATCATTGACTTTTATACATTTACATTCCTCTTATCTAATTTCCTTCCTAAATTCAATTCAATCTTTCATAACATCTTCTTTCCAGGATGTTGATGCATGTAGGGAGATTTTGAAAGAAGAGTCCCAGAGACTTGGTCATGAGGGTTCACGCCCTTGTCGGACACTACATGATTTTGCTGAGAGTAATTATTTGGCTCGACTTAGCTTTGTGCATAGAAATTCAGTATCCTGAGGTTTGTACGATGATATTATTTTGTCCTACTATTTCAACCCTTTAACTTTCTTGGTTTACATTGCTTCTATTACCCAAAAGAACTGTTTTTTTGCTAATACACCAACATTTTGTTCCTTGTATGCATGTCAGTTCCAATCAAAAAGAAATTAATCTGTTTTGCTAATCTTAGATTTCGTATTTACCTAGAAAAATTTTGCAGCCTTGACATATGGACAATGTTAAATGTTGGTGTAGAAGACACATATTTGAACTTTGAACTGATAGCTGTACCTTCAACAACTTATAGGACTGACATTGTCTAAGGGTAGGAGATGCATGATTTGGAGCACCATCTTCAGTTCAACGCCATGATGATGTTTGCTGTTACAGTTCTGCAAATATGATACCTTTGGCCAATCATGGTTAAGTTAACCCAACTGAATTGTTGTAGAGATATACCTTTCTTCCTGGTATATGGTGTTTGCAGACAGAAATAGGATAATTTGTTCAACATGTAGTATCTGTTGTAGGATGTGTATGTATTAGGTCAATTATTTTGGGTGTATAATGGTGCCTTTACTGCTATATATGATTACTTATTGCTATATTTATCATCTGTCTGGATGAACAATACTTGCATTGCACATTTTATTAATTTGCTTGGCTTGCCAAATCATGAAACCTCAACCTCATCCCTATTGATGTGGTTAATGTAGTTGGCAAGTAGTGGTGGATCTAAACTTCGTATCAAGTGGATTTAAAAAAGTTGAAGTGGGATTAAGGGCCTTTAAAAGTACTGTAGAAAAACTTTTAAAAAGTGATCTTTAAAAGTGTAATTTAAAATCTAACTACATAATTGAGTGGAATGTATTAGTAAGGGTAAAATTATAATTTGCTTTTAAATACGAAGTTAAAAATGGAAAGCTAGAAATTTTAGGTTTTGTAAAGTTGAGAATGAAAAGTTAGAAATTTTAGGTTTTGCGGCTAGTTTGAAATTATTGTTTTTTATTTTGTGTTATTTTTTTATTCGTTTGCCATTGATTTTATGGTAAAAATAATTTTTTTAATTAATTTTTTTTTAGAAAGCATGACCAAGTGTAGATTTAATTTTCTATCTTTCAAACTCTTCTGTTTTTACAATGATGTTCGTAGACCCAAGTGAGTGCCAAGTACATGTATTGTTGGCGATCAAGTCTGACGCATTTGCTTTTATATATATTTTTTTATTCTTCTATAGATATATTTTGTGAAATTTTTATGATTTGAAATTTTTAAATAAAAGTTTGTTTTCATATGTATAATATACATTCAATTAATTTTACTTAGGTCACGTATAGTAATTTCATTGATTATTTAATTATCACACTATTTACTTTTTTGGTACCATAAAGAACGGTAAATTATACCAATGATCACTTAATTGTTATTCTTTTTTATTTTAATCATCAAATTTTTATTTTTGTTAGTCATACCAGTTAACTATTTAAGTATTATCAATCAAGTCACTAATCAGTAATATTTAATTTACAAAGTGATGTGATAATTAAAAAAATTAATATAATTACATATTTGGTCATTGTTACTTATATATTTTATTAGTTTGATCTTAATTTTAAATTAAAATAAATTAAATCATTGAATTGAATGGTGTCATTTGTTATATGTGTCATGATTTAATTTTAAGATAAAATTTTATCATATCCTAATTAGTAAATTAATGTTCAGTTCAGACGACTATTAAATTTTAACAAAAAAAGGACAAGTTTGAACTTATAGATAGTTAAATGATTAATTTATAAGTTTTAATTATCAAAAGACTAAACAAAATAATATCCTAGATCAAAAAATCATTTTATAAATTTTAATAATAGCGAAACTCCTAATAAAGCAACATTTATATATTTTTTATTATGCCATTATAAGTCTAAAAGCGGGTAAATATCAGTTATTGGCTAAATTTCTCATGTCTTGGTCTTTAACAGTAGTAAACACAGATTATGGCGGAAGAGGAAGGGCGTACTTGTTAAAGTATTTTATATAACTCTCTCTTCTTCTTCCTCACGTTGTTCTCCTCTCTACTCTCACCGTATCTCCATATTTCATCAAAAACAACGTTTTTAATCAGAATTACTTCAAATATCATCTCCTAAACCTGTTGGAATCATAAAAATCGTGCAAATTTCATCCAATCTCACTCTAATCCGAAATTCTTCAAGGTATTTTTCTAAAACTTCTATTTTATTAATTTTTGATTTTAGAACTAGTTTTAATTAGTTCTAGGTTGAATATTATATCGGGCATTGATTGTTTAGTGTTTAGAACATAGATTTTACAACTAATTTCATCAAAAACACAAGAATTTTTCAAAATTATTTGAAATTTTCGAAAAAAAAACTGTTTCTCAAATTATTGTGTTTTGATTGAACTATGTTGTTATGAAAACTATACATATTGATTTTCAAAACTTAATTTTTCGATTGTTTTTCAAAACTTTGCCCATTAGGATTATTTTAGAGAACCTTGAAATATTAAGGACTCAATTGAGTTTTGGGATTGATTATATTGCATACATGTGTTTTAAAACTACAGATTATTCTTTCCAATCCGATTACCTTAATCATGTCTCATAAACGTTCTAGGGCTTCCTCTAGTCGTTCTAACCAACCTCCAAGCTCACCTCCAAATCCTCCACCTATCCAACAAATTCTTAATCCTAATCCCGATGATCCAAACATGACCATTCGCAATTCTTGCTTTAATGAACCCGGTCGTCGACAAAATCTCTACTTTAGATTTTTTCAATACTTTGAGTCTTACAAAATCCGGGAAGAACGAATCTCATCTCTTCAAGCCATGTTAGACATCAATTTTCAACAGTACGTATGAGAGGTAGCATTGAAGAAAAGGAAAAGAAAAGATGAGCCAAAGTTGGGAAAATATGGAGCTCAAACATTAAATTTCAAGTCAAGCTGGAGCTTAAAAACATTTCACAATTTGAGCTTGGGTCAGCTCAATGGGTTGAGTCCTAATTTGGTACATATAATGCTACCTTGAGCAACTCATTAACCTATTGAAGATTTCGAGTATTTTTTTTATGTAATGTTCAAGTATAATATGATTTGACATTTATTTTCATGTTTGCAAAATCCAACCTCTTGAACTTTGAATTCAAGTTTCAAGTTCCTTACTGGATTACTTATAATTGGCACTATTTGAGTCTTCTGTGACCGTGGCTTGATTGTTCTGTTTGAGCTGATAGAAAGTCATGGAATAAACAAAAGAAACAAAATTATAAACTTGTCACTGATTTTTGCGATTTTCGGCCGTTATGACCATCCGTTCACCTCACCGCTACCACCGTTAAAGTACTCTCCTCTTTCCAAACGAAACCCAGTCGGCCTTGCCTCCTCACCGGTGCTGTTTTACTGTCGTCGGTGGGTAAGTTGTTCGATCACGTGTTTTGTTTATTCTTTCGGTTTTAGGCCAGATTTGTGGGATGATTCGAACCGATTTTGGCGAGTTGGTGTAGGTGGTGCAATCAGAACACATTGGACATTCTTTCTGTTGCGTCATGCTCCACCCTTACGTGTGGGGCTGCTTATTCGGTTGAGAATCATATAGAAACTGGTATGAGTCAACTTGGATCTAACCGAGTGAACTTTAATCGGTTTGACCTGTTAACTTTGACCGAGTTGACATGTTTAGAGTTGACTTTGACAAAGTCAAATTTTTTGAAAAGTCATACTGTTGAGTTAATCGATCGATGGAATTTGCCAAGAGGGGGTGAATTGGCAATAAAAATTTTGGTGAAGCTTTTGCAGAAAATTAAAAATATTTGCACAATGATTTAGAGTGGTTCGACTTTCTCAACCAAAGTCTACGTACACTACCTTAGCTATCAGAACACATTGGACATTCTTTCTGTTGCGTCATACTCCACCCTTACGTGTGGGGCTGCTTATTCGGTCGAGAATCATATAGAAACTGGTATGAGTCAACTTGGATCTAACCGAGTGAACTTTAATCGGTTTGACCTGTTAACTTTGACCGAGTTGACATGCTTAGAGTTGACTTTGACAAAGTCAAATTTTTTGAAAAGTCATACTGTTGAGTTAATCGATCGATGGAATTGGTCAAGAGGGGTGAATTGGCAATAAAAATTTTGGTGAAGCTTTTGCAGAAAATTAAAAATATTTGCACAATGATTTAGAGTGGTTCGACTTTCTCAACCAAAGTCTACGTACACTACCTTAGCTATCCACACTAAGGATTTTCCAACAAATTCACTAATTTGTTCTTTCTTTTGAGGACAAAGAGTAACCTTACTACTCCCTCAAGAATTATACCCCAAATTCTTGAGCACACTCTTTTTCAAAGAGAAATACACAAATTTGCAAACTTACAAGGAAAACCTCACAAGGTAGATTGTTTGCACAATTCTAGAACAAAGAAAGAACACTCAAGGATAAATACTATAGAGTACAAATGGTGTTCTTGAAAGCACAATGAATATTGAATGAAAAATAGGCTTGAAGTGCTCAAACAATGAGTTTGATGCTTTCTCTTTGATTCTCTCTCAATTCTTGATAATTGTTGTTGATCAATGGCTTCTAAACTTGTTTATAAACTCCTTTAATTGAATCTGAACGTTGGGGATCATTAGTGGAGTCAATAGAGTCGTTATTGTGTGAAAACAATTAATAAAACAGCTTGGAGCGTGGGGGGAATCGGTTCCCTACCATAGGGAATCGATTCATGCAGTGTAAAATTCAAATATTTCCACCGTTAGACAGGGGAAATCGGTACCCCCTTGGGGGGAATCGGTTCCCTCCAAGCATTCTGTTTTTCTTGGAGCCAAACCATTCAGGGGGAATCGGTACCCCCTTGGGGGGAAATCGGTTCCCTCTGGACAATCTGGAATTTTTGGCTTTGAAACGGTTCGAAATACTTTGTTAAATTGTTTTGAAATTATTTTAAGATTAAAACTTAATTTTACACTTGAGTAAGGATTAAAAATGACATTTGAAAGATTTGGAGTAATATTTTGATATTCGAATAATTATATCGAATATACTTAGAAAATCTTTTGGAAAATCTTAAAATTCATTTATCTTAATTTGTTATATCGAAATATCAAAATGTTTTCAACAATCTCCCCTTTTTTATATAACAAAACATTTTAGTAATTTTAAGATTTTGAAATTAAGTTTTGAAATTACTCCCCCTTACTCTAACACTTATCCCCTTTAAAAATACTTTAACATTTCTCCCCCTTTTTGTTAAATCAAAAAGACCTTTAAAAGATTTTAAACAAGTTTTTGAAAAACATTTAGTCAATTGATTATAAATAAATATAGCGTAAGCTGCTAAGATCACAATCAAGAGAAACGTTAGCCATTAGTTTCATAATTCAATATTCATAAATAATGTGAAATGGCAAAAATTGGTCATAATGCAACTAATACGTAAATGATGCAAAAATAAACATTAAGCTCAAAATGAAAGTTAAAACCAAACCAAA